GGGGGGGACTCGCCTCCGCACGCGTAACGACACGCGCCAGCGAGGAACTCATGAAAATAACAAAATGAGGGATAGACAAAGCAAAGAGTGTATATATAGGTGCGGTGTATACGTACGGTAAGTACACCACAATATGTGCGGCGTTCTCATGCCTAGCCGCGCGTTACATGGCCATGCGTCGGCACATGAGGAGGAAGGCGCCGGGCGCAGGGGGCAGGGAAGTCCCGTGTGTGTGGGGGGGGGGGGTCGACCCGGCGCCGCGCCACCTCTGGAAGGAATTACGAGCATTACTGCTCGATGACGTGCGGCGGCCAGGCGCTCTGGCCGTCATTATTGGGTGTCAGGAAGTGGTTACGAGAAGTGCGAATGGGTTCTGCACCGCGGGCCGGGAAAGAGAAGTACGACGGCGTCGCGCTGGCGCCGGGGAGCGCCCTCGCTGTGGGGCCACACGCAGAGCCGAGCCGCGCCCTCACCCTCTCGGCTGATCCCGCGCCGCGGGGGAGCGGGCCATGGGCCATGATGGTGTGCGTGTGTAAATCTGTCATAACTGTCGTCATCCCGACAACAAGAGCACACTTTCCTACGATGTCTTTGTTTTCGCGGTTCCGGCTGGTGCGTGCGTGCCTCCCCCGCCCGCACAGTGTCTTCCCTTCCTTCCTCAGCTTCGTCGTGCGGGTGTTTGGCGCCTCTTCTGGTTCGACCCCCCTCCCCCTCCCCTTCCACCTGCTTTTCGCGCAGGTGCAGCTACGCGACTCGGCGACGCCAAAACACACCTCACGAGCAGACAGACAGGAAGGGCCTCCTTTCTCCGAAGTGTCTTCCGAACGCGACACCTCACTCACGGTCCCGTGCCCCGTGCGTAGCGCCGGCGTGCGAGGCGTGGCTGGCGTGGTGAGGCGCGCGGGAAGGGAACGAAAGAGAAAAGGCAAGCGTGAGTCACGGACCCTGATTATTTTTGTGCTTTGTTCGGTTTTGTTACTTTATGTTATGTTTTCATGTTTTGGTCTTCATAGTACAATCTATCTTTTCTAACAGGAATTTTCAAGTATGGTGCTTGGTGCTAATTTTTATTTTA